TTGCAACCTAAAAACTTTTTGAGAAGAACTTGAATTGCCCCAAACATTATTGCATACTTCATTCTCGAGTAAAAATGAGCAAAGTAGTACGCCATGACTACACTTCCACTAGCAACCTGATTTAATCGGTACAATCCATAACAGCTACAGGAAAGTAAACTACATAGTTCATTGGTATGATGTTCCCATCGAAGGTCTTTGTCTATATGTAAGCCCAGAAACTTGGCCACGTTCACTTGTTGGATACTTTTATTATCAATAATTGAATTATTCAGTAGCTTTTATCTGCAGATGATTTTAATTCAATTGTCAAAAAAGTTGTTTTGAAGGGTTTATAAATAAATAGTTATTTCTAAACCATTCAACGACATTGTTTAATGTTTCTTGAGATTTTAGAATTGTATCTGATATTTTGTTTTCCGCTTTAAAAATTGAAGTGTCGTCTGCAAATAGAACTAAGTCTCTAGAATCCACTACATTTGCCAAGTCATTGATAAATATTATAAAAAGAAGAGGCCCCAACACTGATCCTTGAGGCACACCACACTCAATTTTAAGAGTATTGGATTTAATAACCTTGATTTCCACCAATTGCTCCCTGTTTGATAAATAACTTCCCAACCAATCCGAAAATCTACCTCTTAATCCATACTTATTAAGCTTTTCCAACAGTAATGAATGATTATAATGGTTATAACCAAATCAAAGGCTTTGCTTAAATCCAGGAAAATACCGACACACTTGTTTTTATTATTAATATTTTCATATATGTTTAGTAAAAAATCCATTATTGCAGTATTCGTAGATTTACCCTTGAGAAATCCATGTTGGACAGAAGATAAAATACCGAACTTGGCAAGAAAATTTGTTATTTTAGAGCTTATTACAGTGTTGTATACTTCCGTAATAGTAACATCCTCTAGATACATTGACTTCTTATTAGCTTTAATTTCAATTTTAAAATCAGTATTTCTAGTTATTTGAGAATTAAATTTTTTTGTAATGTCAATAAAATATTTATTAAACTTATTGGCAATAGTTTTAGGATCTGATAATAATTCATTGTTTTCTTTTATTTTTATTCCAGTGTCCAAAGTTTTATTTGAAACAGAACTATTTATTATAGACCAGGCAGCCTTAGATTTATTGGAAATTCTTCTTCTTCTATTTAAGATAAATTCATTACACAACACCTTGGCACCACATAATACTCTTTTATAAATGCTTTTATATGTCCTATAAAATTTTATATCAGCTTCACAGTTTGTAGTTTTCATTTTTTTATACAGTACAAAAAAAAGTTAAGTTGTTTAGAGGATGTTTTAATGCCTTTGGTTATCCACGGTTTTTTATTTCTTTTACTGTTAATTTTCAAATTTAATAATGGAAACCTAATATTTATGTAACAAAGCATTAAGTTTAAAAAATTTACAAAAGAAATTTCCACCGAATCCTCACTAAAAACATCATACCACGTTTCCCTACTCAAGGAACTAAAGAAAGTCTGATAGTTGTTTGAGTTAAATATTCTAGTGGGTACGTACTCATGGCTGACATTTTGATCTAAATCAAGTTGAAGAACTTGTGCATAATGGTCAGAAATAGGTTCCTGTAAAACAGTACATTTAATATTTATGCCTTCATGTAAAAATGGAAAAATTATATGATTTTAAAATATTATATAGTTCAATTTTATTATTTAGATTTGTTAAAAAATCAATGTTAAAATCACCACACAAAACAACTTTTACAGTTTTTTACAGCTCACTCTGTAAAAAACTTGTTCTAGACTACTCAGAAAGTAATTTATATCACCCTGTGGAGATCTATACTGCGAAATTATTAATAGTTTTTCATTTTTTAAATCTATTTCAGTACCACAAATTTCAAAATGTTTTTCTTTACATAAATATTCAAAACTATTAATATCACGCACGTGATTTTTTTATAAAAATTATAGTACCACCATGCTCAAATTTAGTTCTACAATAACTGGCTACCATATAATCATTGATTTTTAGAGATTTGACTTCAGATATTTTTAACCAATGTTCCGTGAAACAAGCTATATCAATGTTTTTATCTGTTAAAAACAATTCCAATTGATCTACTTTGTTTTTTATACTTTGCGTATTTAAATGTAAAATGTTTAGGGTTTCTGAAGTCCTATAGGACTAGAGGTATACCTCTTCGATTTAGTTGCTATGCATTAATATTATAAGTGATTTTATTTTTTCCACTTAACATTTTTTTTGTAAGATAGTACAATTAATATCGAAACAAGAATGATTTTCATTCAAAGTTTCTGTAGTTTTTTTATTAAATTCAACACAGTTAAAACATTTTTCTTTGATATGACCAGCTTCACCACATTTTAAACATTTCTTATCAGTACAATCATTTGCACCATGATTAAAACCTCCACACTCAAAACATCTAAGTACATGGATATACTCAAAGAAACGACATCTCGACCAGTTAATAAATATTTTACCATCTTCAGGAAGTTTTGAAAATGTAAGTAGATCACATTCTACGATTGCCATATAATTTTTGATCATTTTCTTAAACTTAATGACTTTTAAACTTTGATACTTGTTAAAATTCTTTATATGTTCAACTAATTCCTCATTGCTTAATTCTCTATCAATATCTACTATTTTGAAGCAAGGTGAGCGCATTTTTTAAGATTGAATTTTATAATTTTCACTAAGTTTTTCTTTAGCCGGAGTTATTATTTGCTTAACTTCTCCCTTAGTTTGACATCTAATTAAGATTCCTTCATCGGTTATATTTTTAATTTCTGATATTCCCACTTGGAAAGTATTAGGATTTAGATTTTTTTATAATACATTAGGTGTAATTTTGTTATCTTGCGTTACTTTTGGTTTAATTAGAACTATTTCACTTGCTGTTTCCGCATATGATTTTGGTTTTACATTTGAAGAACATACGTTGGCAGAGTTTACTGAAATTTTTATATTGCATATTTCTTTCTTCATTTCGGTTTTAAATCTGTTAAATTCATTATTAAAATTGCTCATGAAATCTATGCATTTTTCACATAATTTACAAAACTATTTAATTCCTTGTGTTTCCTCCACAGTTTTAACATGACTTGCTTTAAGATCAACACATTTAATATGGAATGACTTTTTACATAACCCAGAACATACCACAAATGTCTCATTATTTTTAAATTTAATTAACCACCTAGACCAAACCATTAACCATTAGGATTAACCTTTCGCGACAGTCACCCATGACGACGACTACATCGACCCGGTAGGACACAATATTAATGGTGAATCTTAGATTTGTTCTAGATATAGTTTATGTAAGAAACACTGATTTTAAACGAATATCAATCAACTGCATTTGCATCTAATGTTCACTTACTTATTCTTATACGGTCCTTTACTATTCACATTCACAGATATTTTTGAGAGAGCACAGTGCACATCTGGGAGGTTATTAAAATCCATGCCCGTATTGTTTCATTTCCTTAAAAGACTTGAGAAAGAAGGAGACGATATTTTTGTTATTATCAGTACCGATACTGATTCTTCAAAAGCCGATAATGAAGTGAAAAAGCTGAAAACCTATGCTGATTTAAATGCAGATTATTTGAAATTCTGTGATATTGGCAAACATAATAAGAAAGAAGCCAAATTTTATCAGTACAATATATATTAATTCCCCTCTGTTTGAGGAAAACGCTAGTCTTTCGGTACTGGAGAAATGTCCCGTATTAGAACTACACCTATTGAAGGGTTTTGTAAACCATCTATTCTGGAATGGTTTAGTCAAGATAGTTGGTAAAGACAAAGCATTAATTTGGCCAAAGAAATTAAAACTGGTATCAAAGAATTATCATGGCGAAATATTTGAGGGAAACGCTTGTCGTAAACTTCTAAAGAAAGCTGATATGCCAATATGTTGAAGAATTTCGATTACGACCTCTTATTAATGTTTTTAAAGCCATGGATAAAGTTGTCAATTCTAATTTTTCCACGAGGCCAGTAAACATTGCACGGCTGCATACCTACATTGAAGAATTAAAAAAAGCTTATTGCCACTGATATTTCTGAAAATTCAAATATTGCTTTATCACGTTGTGCAATGTGTATCATATTTAAATTATTCAGGTTTAGGATTGTGGTCTGGCGAATCCATACATCGCGAATTTGTCAAATACTGGAACCGTTACAAAATGCAGAACGATTAACGAATGCAGTGGTTATATAGTCAACAAAACAGATCATGATATATTTAGTTATATGTGAAAAATTGATCATTATTAATTTTCTGTAATATCTATTTATTGACGGTTATATTGTAGTTTTTGATTTTCTTGTATTTGAATATTACATTGTTACTATTTAATAAATAAATAATGGAATATGTGTTCATACATTTTTTTTAGAATTTTTAAAAACACAGGCCCACAAAAAAGTTGTCTGAACTGGGGGTGTTCTTTTCTTTTGGATTTTTTCACTCTGAATACGAATCTGAAATAAAAAATTGGGTTTTTGGCAGTGGCGGCTCGTAGGTTCTGGAAGAGGGTGGGCACAAAAAACTCACCTACTAATTTTTGTACATAAAGTAAATTCTCCTATTTTTCATGCGAGAAACTGAATTTTCACTCTATTTGTGATATTCACAAAAAAAATTCTATAATATAATAGGAGACCTTGGGCCGGTATTTCAGTTGATGGTTAACCATGAATCATTTGGTCAAATATTAAATTTGACTGTTAAGCGTATTTCAGTTTTTGGTTAAAGTAAACATGGGTTATTGTAAGCACCTAAATTTAACCAAGATCGTTTGGCTGTTTAACCATAGATTAATAACCTTTGCGTATTAAAGCATGCCGTGATCAGCTGATTTCAGAAACTTCAGTTTTAAAATTGGGTTATGGTATGGTATATTGCAGCTTTATCACAGTAGTTTTATTATTTATTGTTAAAGTGGTGTTATTATTTATTGTGAAAGTGCGATGGCGCAAGAAATAAAACGAAGCAAAAACTTTAACAATACGGAAGTATTGTTGCTTTTAGATTTAGTAAAGAAATTCAAAGATGCGGTCGAAAATAAAGAATGCGGTGCTGTTTCTTTTAAACAAAAAAATGAGGCTTGGGTCGAAATAAGCAAACAATTTAATGCTGAAAGTGGAGGACAACCCCGTTCTTACAAAGTCCTAAAGGAAAAATGGAACAACATGAAACGGAATACCACCAAATCAATTGCCAAAATAAAAAAACATATGGGTGGTACAGGTGGTGGGCCATCTTGTAATGAAACTCTTTCATCACAAGAAACAGCAGTGTTGGAAATAATAGGGGATAGACTTACAGGAATGTATTCTGAGTGTGATAGCGATATTCCAAAAAATGGTATGTACATATAAGAAGCTTAAAAAAGATTATTTTTAAATGAATATCTTTTATTGCAGCGCCAAAAGATAGTCGGGAGACAACAATACTTGAAATTGAGACCGACCTGACCGCCGACCACGAAAATATTTTTATACTGGAAGATCTGGGTAAGTTATAATTAAATAATATAAATGATAATAGGTTAAATGGTTTTAGATTTAATGCCTGCAAGTGAAAAGATGGTCATTGAACCATCCACATCTTTGGAGGAACAGATTGATGAAAATAAAGAAAATGATTGGGGAGATTTTAAGTCAACACTTCTAAGAACTCCAATTGCAAAACCCCTGGCACTACAAAATGGTAACGTAAACAATGTTATTATTTATGTATTATTTCCATTACATACAGGTATGTAAATAATAGGTCTATTATTATAATCAACAGGAAAACGAAAGAAAATGAAGGTGACTAATACCATGACTAATGAAAAGTGGGTAAAGTTTGCTGAAAAAAAAGAAGACCTATTGCATGACCAAGTTGAGATTATGAAAAAAACTTGCAACGAGCAAATCTGGCTTACAAAACTAAAAGGACAACTTCTCCAAGAGGAACATGACCTGAAAATGAAGCAATTTCAAGAAGAACATGCTTTAAAAATGGCGCATATGAAAGAAGAACATGGACTTAAAATGAATGGCTTCATAATTAGTAATAATAAAAACCAATAGGTTTTAATTAAAAAAAACATTTTATTATTCTATTGTTTGTTTTAATTTTTATAACAAATTTTCAAAATAATTTATAATATCGTTTCTTATTCTATTATTTGGTTGTCCATTTGCATGATTTTCAACAGGAACATTCAGTGCATGCTGAAAAGCCCTTTCATCTTCTGCATCCAGTGGTGGAGGTTCTTCTTCATTATTCTCACAGGCTATGTTGTGTAATACTGCGGTAGCAACTATTATCCATTGTACTTTTCGTAATTTTAACGATATTCCATTTGATAAAATGGGAAATCGTCTTTTCCAAACCCCATAACTTCTTTCAACAGGGTTTCTGGATCGTATTTGAGCTTTGTTGTACAAATTTTGTGCCCTTGTATTGGGATTAAGAAGTGGAGTCATTAAATAATTTTTAACCGCATATCCAGAGTCTCCTAATAAGATGCCATTGCCCATTTCACCATTTTCAAATCTACCGCAAATTTGGGAATGATTAAATATGGTAGAATCATGTGCCGACCCATGCCATCTAGCTACAATATCCATTATTTTTAAATTGCTATCAACTATTGTTTGGACGTTTATTGAATGAAAATTTTTTCTGTTGCGAAAAATTTCAGCATTTTCACCACCAGGTGATCGAATTTTTACATGAGTGCAATCTATAGCTCCCAACACTCTGGGAAACCTGGCAATGTCGTAGAAACCTCGCTGAACATTTGACTTTTCTTCTTGAGTATTAGGAAATTTTATGTATTCAGGTCTTAATCTAGCTATTGCTTGAGTCACTTTAAATACAACTTTACTCGCTGTACTTTTATGTACCGCACAAAAATCTCCAGCCACAATAAGCATGCTTCCTGTTGCATAAAATCTTAAAGTTAAGAGAAGCATTTCCATGGGAGAAAGAGCGTGGTTCCAATCAGTGGGCGAATGTATAGATTGTTGAATTTGATTCAATACAATTTGTACGGACTGTTTTGATAAACGAAAACGTCTATAAAATTCATTATCGTACCAGTATTCGAAATGATTTGGTCGTGGCCGAAAAGGTCTGCGTTGTTGTCTTGGTCTATTTAAATAATTTTCAACAAAATTAAATTCATCTTCATCATCATCGTCAAAAAGCATCCAATTAATGTCCATATTGCAACTTAAATAAAAAGATGAATGTTAATATATCATTTATTTCTTATACCAAACCAAAAATAATTAAATACTTACATTTATAAAAACTGCAGCTATTAAAATCACAGTACAATTACACAAACTTAATTTTAAATAATATTTTTTAAATAAATTGACAGGAATGCGAAGACGCGCTACGAATTAATGTATACCAACATAACAAAAGTTCTGGTTAATTAACCACATGAATCTTAATCATAATTAAGACACTGAAAAACAGTTTGTACTTTAACCGGGGTTAAAAATATTGGTTAATTATAATCATGATTAAGTAACCACGATTTTAATCACCAACTGAAATACCGTCCCTATGGACCAACTGCATGGAAATCAGCTCTTACAACCACCAAAACGCCACACTGATTAACGAGATCAATGGAGCCGAACATAACACAGGTTCAATCGCAGTCACGGTTAATGGCGCGGAAAGCTAAAAGGGTTTATAAACAACGATCAGCGGCAACGGAGCTCACTCCACGTCTAACTCGCAGCAGAGCAGCAACAGCAGCCCAGCATATAAGGCCTGAAGATGGTACATGAGATTGTACCGAAACGTCGTCAGACATACGGTTCTTTTAAGATATATAAAATAAAAATAAACAAAAATACAAAATAATAAACTTAAAGAAGCATAAGAAATAAAGAACAAGAAATAAAGAGATAAGAAAAGATAATAAAGAAGCAAAAGAAAAAAAGAGCAGAAGAAAGAAATTAAAAGAAATATTAATACATTTGTTTTAAATCTGCTGTAATAGCAATTGGGAAAAGTCTAAAATTAAAAAGAAGTGAAAATAAACTAGCTTGTAAATTTGGTCCAGTATGTAAAATATCATTTAACGATACAGCTGTATCAGTTTTAGCACTTGCATCTAAGACTACACGAACTTTAGTTGTTACCTTATAAAGTCTAACAACAGCATGATTTGGTATAAAATAACCACTATTAATATTTTCGTCAGAATATTAAATTTCAGATAAATATCCTTTATCTATATACTCCCCAGGTAGCACACTGACGTCTGCTGACGTTGAAATGACGTTGCTAACATCATTTAAACGCCAGAAGACGTGATCAAACGTCAGTGTGCTACCTGGGTATTTTATTACCTCCCCTATTGAAAATGCCATATAGAACCCATATTGAATCCGATAAGGAAACGTATCTGGTTCTATATGGTTTTATAGGTCCTATATGGAAAGTCCTGGTTAACATTACGGATTCTATATGGTTGAATATGGATTTCCATTTTAAAAATTTTCATATTCAAACATATAGGGAAACCTATCTGGAAATACATATAGAACAGAAACCAGATAAATCCATATACAACCATATACATGTCTTTATAAAGACATGTATATGGATGTATATGGATTTATCTGGTTTCTGTTCTATATGTATTTCCAGATAGGTTTCCCTATCTGGTTCTATAGTGTTTTAGAGTGTTTTTATCTGGTTCTATAATGTAATCTTCTATCTGGTTCTATAGTGAAATGCCTGTTTCAAATACCTATATTGAACCAGATAGAAACCATATAGAATCCAGATACGTGTTTTTATATGGTTCTATATGGCATTTTCAATAGGGTCATTATAGACTTGAATAAACTTCTTTTAAATTTCCTTTCTAAAAATACGAATCAACATTTAGCAATAACATGAGAATTACCTAATAAAGAAGGATCATGTTTAAATGGTAGTTCTACAATATATCTACCAGAAAAATCTTTAAAAGAAGATAATTTATAGAGATTTTCATAAAATAATTCATCTAAATCTTGTATGTGATCATTCGGAATTTCCTCTAAATTCCAGAATTTAGTTAAATTTGGATTTAAATTATCATTTGTTATTGGCCCAAAAGTCCAACTTAAATTAAAATGTGAGAGGGAAAACGTATTGACGGGTACACCAATTAAAATATACTCAAGTGCACATTCCACACAACAAGGTCTGTTCTATCTCGTTTAAAAATACAAAAAATCACTGCAACACTGCACAGTTTAACGGCGGCCATTTTTGTTGTTTACAATTTTTGTGCTTTGGGTTTGTGCTCTGTTTATACAGATTAATAATCGTTTTAAAAGTTGTGTTTCTCATGGTAAGCCTTAAAAGAGTCCTTAAAGTGCTAAGAACAACAATTTTACTCCTCTATTGTAAAAAATAAACTTTATTCTATCAGGGCTGTCATAAAACTGTCAAATGTCAATTTTAAGGTTAAATTTTAACCCACAAATTAACCTTCAAATTGTCATTTGACAGCCCTGATAGAATAAGGTATATTTATTATAAAAGAGGAGTAAAATGGTTGTCCTTAACACTTAAAGGCCTTATTTGAAGCTTACAAGTGCCTCTGTAAGAAACACAACGTTTAAAACAATTATTAAACAGCACAAACCCAAAGCACAAGAATTGTAAACAACAAAAATGAGCTCCTAAAATGTGTTGAAAATAGTTCAGTTGCTTATTAGGTATATTTTTTTATTTATAATTAATTAATTTATAATAAACTGTCAGTAAAACTGTTACACTATCACTAATTACTTTTAATTGAAAATTTTCTTATTTTTTCAAAATGGGTAATTATTTATTTATTTATATTTATTCTAAAAATTTATTTATACAAAATGATATTAATTTTAATTATTAATATAGAATATTTACAACAATACGATGGCGATAATGAAAATGAACTTTCTACGGATGAAGAAAACGACATGGCAAGCGAAGATCAAGACTCATCAGACGAAGAGGAAGAAGAAGATGATGAAACTGGCGAAGAGGAAGAATATGACGGTCTAAACATCCAACAACAAGAAGACAATGAAGCATACAGAGAAGAACAACAAAATGAAGATGCTATTGGAGTGGATGACGAAGAAGATGAAGCTACTAATCAACATTCTTTGAATGTAGGTGACAAATTTGATTCTTTTGAGCAGTAAGAAGAAAGCGTTAAAAAATATTAAGAAAAAGAATACGCCCTTTTCTACCATCGAGATGCCATGTCAATCGACCAATGTCGTAAAAAAGGAATTAAAAGGCCCATTGACAAGTCATTGAAATATTACAGCATTCAATATTATTGTGTCCATGGTGGGAAGAACTATTAATCTAAATCGACAGGAGCTAGGAAATTTTACACATTTCAAAGAAATTGTCCAGCAGTCTTCAACGTCGGCGTGGATGAAACTGGTCATAACCTTTTTATCAAGTCGATGGTTCATGAGCACAACCACAACAGAAGTAAAAATCTTTTTCGTCATTTTCCTCGAAATAGAAGATTGACAGATGAAGAAAAAAGAAAAATTGCTGAATTTTTGGACCTTGAAGCTAATAGAGTTTAAGTTAAAAATCTGTTGGAAAATCAAACAAAAAAAGTGATACTTAAGTCGGGGCTGCGGGAGGGCCAATTCATTTTTGGGATTTCCACCTCATCTAAATATTCATTAACGACTTTCGCAACATGCGGTCGAGCGTAAACATGAAACCGTCTCCCACAAATGGAGCAAAGGGATCAACGTGTGGTTCTAAAACCTGACGAATATATCTATCCGCTGTTATTGCCCCCCATCAACTATTACCGTTCTGATGTCGAGCTGCACCCCACCCCACACCATAACGGAGTCTCCGCCATAGCTTACTCTAGGCAAAAAATGATTTTGCTCAAAACGTTCTCCTGTTCTCCTATAGATTCTTTGACGACCGTCCGGTGATTTTAAACAAAACCTAGATTCGTCGCTAAATAGGATATTTTCCCACTCATCAATGCCCAATTTTGATGTTCCCTAGCAAATGCAAGGCGTTCAACCCTGTGGTTTCTTAGCAACTCGGGTGCGATTGCAGGTCTTCTTGGGTGTAATCCAATGTCACATAACCTTCTTCTTATCGTTCTTTGGCTTACTTGGACCTGTCGTACGTCCTCCAATCTGTGTTTTACCTCCACAGAAGTTACGTTAAACATTTAGTCCAATAAAGCGATCATCTCGTTCATTCCTACACCTCTTCCTACTACATTGACTCCTTCTACTGTACTCGCCATGCTGATTAAACCGATTTACAGCCCATTGTACTTTACTTCTTGTGACGTTTTAAATACTTGCCAGTGGCAAGTTGCCACGTAATACTGTGACCGTCCATCCTGGATTAAAGCAATGGCTCAGGCAACATTAGTCGGAGACATATCCATTTTTAAAAGTAATGAAGGGAACCTCAAAAGTTACACATTAATTTACAAAAAAACAATTTGATAGGTTTTGAAAGCTGTATATGACATGTCCAAGTATGGGATGATTCAACAAAACTGTCACTGTCATCCTCCATAGGCTATGAATGGACCCACAAATTGTTTTTTACAAATTAATTTTTAAATTTTGAGGTGTCTTCTTACTTTTAAAAATGTCTCCGACTGATGTTCCCCTTTGTACTTTACTTCTTGGGACGTTTAAAACACTTGCCACGTAATACTGTGACCGTCCATCCTGGATTAAATTAATGGCTCTGGCAACATCAGTCGGAGACATATCCATTTTTTAAAGTACGAAGACACCTCAAAATTTAAAAATTAATTTGTAAAAAACAATTTGATAACTTTTGAAAGCCGTGTATGACATGTCCAAGTATAAGATGATTCAACAAAACTGTCACTGTCATTCTCCATAGCCTATGGATGGACCATAGCAACCTTAGTTCTTCATACAGGAAAAATATTGGAAATTGCAATGTTTTTTTTTAAATCCATATTTTCCACAAAAATAAATATATCAAGGTAAACCAAAAACCAAAACTGTTAAAAATAGATGTGACTTGATAATTAAAACTTAATTTAGAAAAATATACGGTTTTGCCACTCTAAAGAGTGTCTTAAACTTATGGTAAAAAACATCTTTTTGTTTAAACCTGTATATTATAAACGTACGTGTATTTTTTAGTAACTTTTAAAATGTGAGCGATTCTCCATTAATGTATCTACAATATTCTTTAATATTTGTTTAAATCCGAACTAAAATAAAAAAGTTATTTGCGATTGAAATTCATCGAAAATTTGGATCGATTATTTTGCCTGTGAGTGTATTTGCTGTCAGAGAGGCACAGAATATTAATCTTTATGATGAGGACTTATGTTTGGAGCGTTGGACACTAAATTATTATTTTAAAACTCAGCGTGTGTTTCAAAAAATAGAGATTAAAACGACAGTACCTGAATGCGTCATTTCTTCGAGGAAATATAAAAAATCAACTCTTTTCCAGCACCAAAAATTTAAAAAAGGTTCGCTTTTGATGAAAGATTTTGCGGGGTTGATTTCAGAAAAAAGTAATAAGCAAAGAACGCAAAATTTAAGTGATTATTGTAAAAATCAATAATCATCACAATGATAACTTTTAAGACAACATCAGGCCATTGACAACAATGATGAAAACAATGAGAGTAAAAACGATGCTGTGAATGACGACAATATTAGTAGTGGCGACGCTGGCGGTAGTCAAAGGTTTCACGGTCGCAGAAAACACAGTAGTAACAGCAACAGCAGCCAAGACGAAGAAGAAAAATGCAAAAAGAATAAAATTAGACCAAGTATCAAGAGAAGAAGGCTAAGGATATCATCGTCATCATCATCATCATGATCTTCTTGGCGCTCACCTGCTTTACGATCGTCTTTCGGGACGTTCCCAGATAGCACAAAGAAGTACTAAAAACGTCCTGAGTATATCTTGTATCAGACATTAGTAAGTTCCGAGTACGTCCGAATCAGGTCCTGAACCTTCCCCAGGATGTACCAGGGACATCCGATGTTACCAAATCGTCGGTCTCCAGAACGTCCTAAGTAAGACATTCTCTGGCCGTCCTGAAATGCTTTATTGGACAAGCTTTACAGAATTGAAGAGTGGTATTCCCAAAGGCCCAGACAGCAATATGACGTCTTAATTAAGTCTTATTTTATTAATTTGTTAAATGGATTTTATTAAAATCATTTTAATAATTAGCTTATTTTAGGAATTGCGATTACTTCGTCTCACTTTTGTTTAAATTTAAGCGTGCTCTTCACCGGCACCGATAGACGGCCTGTTTCCTTCTTTTGGAGCTCGTCAGTATCGGGTAGCCGTTTACCTAGGTCTAAGACCGTTTAGTATGAAGCACGCTCTAAATTCTACTTCGCCGCTTCTTATATCAAACACAAACAGTTACAGCGGTGAGAAGAAAGAATCGCATTAAAATGTCATAAATGTGACGTCTCCTTGTTGACGTCTTAAAGAGTTAATAATATGATTTCAGTAAGAAGTAAGAAAAGAGAATACTGTAAGATATCATATAACTAAAGTCTTATTTATGATACCTACCCTTAGTAGCTTCTAATTTTGATTTCAATAAGAGGTCAGAAAAAAAATACTTTAAGATGTTTAAAAATTTACTTCTTATTTATGAACTTATCAAAAACTCTTAATCTTGAGCTCCTAAAAATGATTTCTCTAAGATGTCATATTGTGACCTCAGTAAGATGTTTTTCAACAGACTTCGTACAGAAATCTTTCTGAATTGGATGATGTCTGGGGGGTCTAAGTTACAAAAATAAAATTGTGAGTTATCAATGAAAGATAAATATTTTGCACATGTAAATGTTGAAATGTCTGAAACACGTTTGGAATTGCATATACCGCTCTCCTGAAACCGTCAAACTCGCCTTCGGCTCGTGTGACAAACTCTTTACTCGAGCGGATATGCTGTATTCCAAACTTGTTACAGAATATACTATTAAGTCATTCTGCATGACACAAACTATTTTTAAATGATAATATATTAACTTGGCACTTAGACCCTTTGGAAATACAATGCTTCAATTACGTCCTTGGGACGTACCCAGTATATCCGCTATAATTTTCCCAAATAAGTAAGAGACTGGACGTAACCAAAACTTCCGATATAGGTCTAGGACGTTCGGACCTATGTGGGACCCGAAATGGACGTCCTGGGTTAATGAAGAAAATCTACAGTTATTTGCCGACATCAATAGTACAAGCAAAGACAATATTGATAATATAGAAGATACGGTAATATTTCCATCTCCAGGTCCCTCGACGTCCCTCGCTACCCCGTCACACTCGGACAACGTTGATAAATATTTAAAAGCCTTGGCAAAAATTATTATTTAACCTGCGATATAACAACGAGGATGACCAAAAGGTGCTAAACAAACTGCAATCGGTTTACCATCCAAAAAGAAACCAATCAATATATTCAAAGACAAATCGTTAAATGATATATCATCATTATAAATTGATAATTATGTTGACATTTGTTTGTAGATGACAAAACGGCGGCAAAATCATTAAAATCAAATTATCTGATCAAAGAGTGAGAAGTGGAAACAATACCAAAAAATATACCGTCATTTTAGATGAAAAACTAAAAATTACTTTAATAAAAAAAAAAATGTTTTACCCCGGATGCTTGGAAACTTCTCGAAGAATATTACGGGCTTAAAACGCAATTAAATGATTGGGAATATCCCTCATGTAAAAAAAGTTTGGATACAACAGTAGATAAAGAATTAAAATTAAAAAGAAGTGTTGGATGCGATTATTGACTCGAATGGTATCATTTAAAATGCACAGGACACAAGCGATACCCAAGAACAACATACTGGATGTGCCAAAATTGTAAAAATATAAGTTAATCCGTTAAAATAAAGATATGTTTTTAATTATTAATCAATTTAATTCAATTTTTTACATGCTTGTTCCCATTAAATCCAAGCTCACTGTGATATTGATGTTAATATACAGTATGTCTCAGTATCTTGGAATCATATGGAAAACTTTTTTATTATTAATTTTAGGAAAAAAAGTTATTCTTCATAAAAAGTTCTGCATGGTGTAAAACTTAAAATGCAACCCACAAATATTAATTTTTTTTAGTCGTATACGAGGTATGTCAAAAAATATGAAT